CTGTGGTCTGGGACACTGAGAAAGGAACTAGGGACCATAGGATGGCCTAGAGAGGTACATGCCCTGAAAGGGAGCCTGACTAGGAGGCTCCTAGTGATGCTCCTAGGGAAGCTCTTCTAAAACCTAAGAGTTAAGAGGCAAGAGTTAAGAGGTGAGGAGGGGATGACAGGCAGCCTAATGTAGAGTTGGGCAGGATGTGGCACCAAAAGCTGAACTCTGGTTCTCTGAAGGCAGCCTGCCAAATATATTAATTTTGACATCAAGGTGTGACAGGTGAGAAAGTGAGGCCAGATTGGGGAAAATGAAGTCAGAGAATGGGTGTAGGGTGGCCCCCAGGTGGTGCTGCAGCTGTCACTGGAGGTGGAGCCATTACCATGACTTTCTAACATATTTTCTACATCCCATTGGTTAATAATAATAATGAGTATAAATCATGCTTCTTACTATGCAGGTGATAATTAATGTATTAGCAATCTGCACTGAGAAGAAACAGAAAATTGATCTCAAGACTTAGATCTTCCTTTGGCTTTTGGAGCAGCTTTCACCCATGTCTGCAAATTTGCTTGGATTCCCATGCAGCTGACCTTTCTTTCTTCTGTAGTCTTGTTGACTTGATTTTATATACATTACCCTTTGAATAAGTTAACCATTTTGCTCAAAGCAGTTCAGCCTCCAGCTATCACATCAATTTCTCTTTGCCCAAAGCCCTTGTGAAAACAGAATCAAACAGAACAGAATACAGTGTGTTTTCATATACCTTTCATTACCAGGTATCCTAAGGGCAATAGGAGAGAGATTGCAAGTACAGTAACTTTGAAAGTAAATGTGGAAGTTATTATGTGTTCAGCAACAGCTCGCACACAAATTTAGACACAGAGCTTCTTTTTAATAAGGAATAAAGTTGAATGTGATATGAGAAAGATTCTCCATGTAAGTCCTTAAACTCTTACCTCTTTGTCACCAATGGGTTCTCAGAAATCTTCCTGGTGGCCTATGGAATAAGGCAGATGCTTGAATGTTATTCAGCTGAATATAATCCAGTTGTATAGTAGGTAGAAACAGAGAAGCTAATGTAGCAGCATTTTGATTTTTAGGAGGGTAGGTGGTTTCTGAGGGAATCTTTCATCTATTAAGCAGTCAACGATAAAGTCAGAGAACCCCCTCTCACCCCTTCTATAATGGGTTGTGAAATAATTGAACTTGCAGCAAGTCAGCAGCCAGGTCTGGGCAGAATGGCACTTTCAAACTTCTGCTTTAAAGCTTAATAGATCTAACAGGTAGCATCTGCTTCATGCTGCATCCATGTGGCAGCATACCAGAGGCCTGGTATAAGGGTTCTGAATCTCAACTCACTGTGCTTAGTTCACTAGCTGTGATTTAGATATGGGCAAAATAATCACTTGGGAAATATACATAAGATAGAACTGCAATTTGCACACTTATGCACTTAATTGCTATGGTAAGTATCATCTAAAGGGAGGAAATAAAGGCAGGAAATGACTCAGAAAGGAGGGCATATACCTTGTTTCTGATAGTTATTGTCATTTAGCAGTAGGGTACGTGACTTATAAGGATGTTCAGTCAAAAGTCTTCCCCAGTTCTCAAAACTTAATGTTAGCCTAGTGCCGGCATCTAGGTAGTGCCATATCTGCATCAGTTCAGGCACACAGATCTGCAGGTAATTTGTTTAGCAGAGGTGTTCAACACCCAGCCCAGGGGCCAGGTCTAGCCCCTGCCATGTCACCTTGTCATCTGCCCCTTGGGACTCCCCATGGGGCTGTGGCCTTGTGTGCTAGGTCAGGCATGCAAGGCAGCATGGTGCCTAATCCCAGTACAGGGGGACCTGGCAGAGGAAACACAGGACCCCCAGAGCATGATTCTGGCACGTAGGATCTGATCCAGCTTGCAGACTAACCCCACATCCTTCATTTGGCACACAGAGCCAAAAGGTGAACACCCCTCATTTAAAATACTAATCTCTCAACAGTTGTTACAGAAACATGAGACAGGGAAAAGAGATTTTCATCTTAAAAGACATTAACAGCATGCCTAATGACCCACATTAAGTAGAGCCATACTTCCTTTGCAGACATGTATCTGCTGTTGTATTCTGCAACACAATTGTATATCTTCGGGATTTAAAAAAGAGTAAGAAAAAAGAAAAAACAATACCCACCTACAACTGACACTGCTCTCATGCAGCTGCTTGGTCAGAGGCTCTCACTGAGCAATGGTCCCTGAGTATGCTAGTGCGGTGTGAGCACATTGGACAAATAACCCCTGCTCTACCAGAGAAACACTGATCTAGCTGATTTCACATAATGACACACAATATTTTCACATAATATTTGCAATCTGCTGCCTCCATAGTATTTTGAATCGCATGCAGTTTTGCTATTAATCACAAAATAGATGCCTGGAAATGACTCAAGCTTATTTACTTAAAAATCACTGAAATATTTTGTGTAACCTCCAAGTTAATTAGTTATCAGTTGCAATATAAGTACTGCTACATTGTAGGAGACACTAGACATAGACCAAATGCCTTGGACACACACGCAATGACATTTTTATATCTGAGGGTCCAGTGTAGTATAACAGCTTACGAAAAAGACCAGACATGACAGAACCAGAAACCTTTCAGCTGTGATGATTATTTTTGCTTCAGGCAAACCATTTCTTTGTCTTCTAAATTGTGGACTTTTTAGGAGGGGTTGTTGTTGTCTTCACTATCATACACTACTCCCACTTTTCAACAGGCTTAAAGCACAGGTGACATGAAAGGATTTTCCTTCTCTTCATATTGATAATTCTCAATCAGGGTTTATTGATCCTTTCAAGGGTGCTATTGGGTGCCACACAATGTTAGCATTGTTAGGGGTGAAAATATGATTTGTATGTTAAACCCAGAGACTTCCATTAGGAATTCATAGTGTTCAAAATATTCTACCTTCTATGTTCTGATTTCTTTTCAATAAAATAATTGCTCTATTACTTTTCTGTGATTAAAAAAACCCTGAAATCTAAGAGCTGGCACTTTCCCAGGGGTGGCTCAAGGCTAAAATGCTTGAAAAACCACTGCTTTATATTCTTAACTTTTCAGAGAAAAAGATCTTGGTGCTGATACAGTTTCTATAAGGAGCTTGGGACAAAGCAATTTATCTCTAAGTTATAAACCTTTAAAGTTTTACATGCATTGTAATATCTAAACCCTTGAGAAGGAGGAATTCTAGAAAATATAGCTGTACAGTGAACCTGGAGAGAAAAGGTTACAAAATACATCATTACACTTTTCTCATAACTCGTGCATTTAAAATAACAGTGATCATTAACAGCACTTGACATTCAAGAAAACCTGCAAAAATCAATAAAGTTTTTAAGACACAAACACATCATCAATCCAGACTTACAGACTAAAACTCACATTCACTGGAGAAAAAAGGAAGAAGCAAAGATTATCTAAGTTTACTGCTGTTGGGGGGATCATAATATAAATTCGTACTGCAAAAACCTGAAAGAGCAGACTTACTTAACTGGTTATTGGACTCTGATACACTTCCCAAGTCACTTTCATCATTTTTTTATTTTGTCCCCCTTAGGCAACAGTAAAAGATATTAAAAAAGGGACTGGCTTCATCAAAATCACTTAAACTATATTTTAGTGTATTTTATCTAGGCAGAAGTATAGTGGTACCAAAATGATATCAATTCTCAACTGTGAGAAATCATCCCTCAGGGATATTATTTCTTACCAGCACCCCTCTTGAGTGGCTTAGGCAATATCAGGGAACATCAAGATCCATGATTCCTCAAAGCAAATGTATTATTTCCACATAGTAGTAATTACGCTGGTGCACAGAGTGAGAAGTTATTAATGTGCTACCTGAGTGCATATCCTTTGTGCTAGGATCTCATATCAATTTGGCTCTCAGTCATGGCAAGCCCTAAAACTATGTAAAAAGGGAGTTTGCTTCTTTGTCAAAGGATTCATTTCAACTGTGAGTGGAACTGAATGGAAGTAGACAATTCGTTTTTATGCTGAACATTGAATAGCTTTAGTAAGTGCTTCAGCGAGGGTGGGATCCCACTTTGGGCACTCTGCACCTTATTAGGTTTCTCAAGTAAATTGTCTTTATTCATCAAAAAAATCAGCTAAGACTGCCATCTTGGTGTTTTGCTGTAAAAGTTAGAAAAATATTGTCTGTTTGTCACAAATAATTTTAGCAGCTCATCACTAAAGGAATAAGTGGCATTTAGATCCTACTTCTACCTGCACAGTCAGGTTTCTGAATCCTTCCTATGTTCAGCTATGACCACTTGCGTTCTCTTAAAAGCCTGATTCATCTGGGAAAGTATATAGCTCGGTGTAAGTCCCTGAAACCTGATTCAGACAGAAAAAACATGATTAGCAAGTACCATATTTACTTGAATACAAGACAAGGGGTTTTTTGCCCCCAGCTGGCATGGAGGAACCCCCCCCGCCCCACAAGGAAACTTCATTAAATACATGGTCTATCATTAAACTGCTGCCAAAAGCAGCATGTATTTGCTAATAGAAACCAAATATGAAGTTGATTAAATGCAGCCAACACTAAGCAGGACTATAAAACACATGACCGATATTGGGCAAACATGCTGATGAGACCCTTTTTGGTTTTTTCTTTTTTAAGGGTCACACACACACAAAGGGGGTTGGAGTGGAACAGCTCCTCCCCTATAAGGGAACTGGCACTGAGCCTGGAGGAATTGCAATACCAGGCTGGTACTGGGAGGAGCCAGCCCTGACACCCTCCCATTGATGTCAAATATGGTACATTTGATCTGAGTCAAAAAGGCCAAGATGTTGATGGAGCCTACCACAAGGATAGGTTAGTGCAGCCTACACACATACAGATACATGGTAGTGCTCATTGAGCACAGCCCCCTTCTGTGCTGACTATTTCAAGTCATGGGAAGCCACTGAAGTGCATACATTTTGACTTCCTCTTCATTCCTGCAACTGAGCTGCACCTTTCTTTCCTATTTTCAATGATTCCTGTTTCTTCACCAGCCTCAAATGTCTGGCAAACTTCACCAAATGGGGCCCTAAACAATTCATCCAGGATCCCTCTATTGTCCCCTCTTTCAGCCTGATGCATATGATCAGGGTGGCCCTGCCCTTCATGAGGTAGAGCCAGACCAGGTTGTTCTGCGCCTCATCTGGAGGATCCCAAGGTGCATGTGCACCCACTGCTGGCAATGAGCCAAGCCAGGGCTCCACAGATCCCAATGCAACTATTTGCAGCCTCCCTTCCACCTGCCACAAGCAGCCCAGGTTTCGCTGTGGGCAGCAGGGACTTGCCTAGAGGTAAGACTGGCAGTCTGCAGAGCCCTGATCTGGCTTGTTGCTGGCAGCAGGTGCACATGCACCTCAAGTGGATGCTGGGGAAGGGATTGGGGCTTTGCTGCCACAAGAAAGATCAGGCGCTCAACAGCTATGATGTAGCACATGTGCAGGGCTGCAAAATGCTTTTAAAATGGCATATCACACAAAAAAATTAGCCCTCGTCAAATCATATATTAGATAAAGGTGCTGTAAAGCAGAGTGCCTTAGGGAACTTGTGTTACCTCAAGGGTTCATTCTTTGCACATGGGCAGGGCTGAGCTGGCAGTCAGCTGAAGCTGGCCCATGGGGTGAGAGGGCTCCATTCCTCCCCACCCCCTGCCCCAGCTCTAGTCAGGCCTCTTGATAGTGGCAACAGCTGCTGCTGGTTTCTTTGTCCAGCCTGAACTGGAAAGGGGGCGGTATAACAAAACACCATCACCTCATAGGCCTGGCCTGGCTCCCCCAGTACCCTATCCAGAGTACTCCCATCTGCTGGGCAAGGCTAGTGCAGGCAGGCTCAATTCCCCCCCAACCCAAGAGGTGAGTGAATGTCTGTTGGGTTGGGGGGAACTCTAACTCATGACGCTTTGTATAAAGCACTATGAGTTAGAGTGTAGCCCTTAAACCTCTATAGGCATCCTATATCTCAGATCCAATTGTCTAGCTTGCTTTCTGCCTCTCAGAAATTAAGATAAAATAATGGACAAACCCATGTTCTTCCTCCTCTTTGGCAACAAAAGTGACCTAGTTAAAATACTGCACTGAACATATCTCACTCTATCTAAACTTAACAAAATATCCAGATCATACTCTGAGATACATTGGGAGTTCTGTATGCAAAAAGACACCTTTATGCACATGTGGTGGAACTGCCCCTTTCTACAAGGTTTCTCAATATCTATAAGGAAAACCATTTGCACAATAACTGATTTGACTCTTTCCCCCTTTCTGTCTCGGGGTAATTCCCAAGCTTCCAACCATGGATTACTCCAGGTCTGCATGCATCCATCTCATCTTGGTAGCTATCAACATGACAGCCAACGCCTGGAAACAGGCAACCTTGCCAAACAAGGGAGAATGGTCAAAGGGTATATGGCGCATACTATATTTAACATGGAAAAGGTATCTGCTTTGCTAAATGACAAGTATGGGGATTTTTATGCCCCTGGTTGCCATTGTACAGCTATCTAACAGGAGGACTATAAAAGAAAAGCACTACAGTTAGACTGCAATATGGGAGTGTAAGTCATATTAAAAAATGAAAAGACTGCATGAGTCTTATCTACCTTCTAAGCAAAATTTAAAGGACAGTGACTTTAAGAGAACTCACAGAAATATTTGTGTAGATGATCACAGTTTGTACCCCAAAATGTGATTTTTTTAAATTGTTCTTTAGCTATATATTTGTGATATGCCTATGTGGCTGTATAAACAAAAAGTGAAAGTTCAAAAGACATAAATTGGACAGTTTTGTAATCCTTTATATTACTGGTACTTAGCTAATATAAATTCTTCTGAACCAACATTGCATAGTCAAGGAATGGTTAAATTATACCAGCAGCAAAATATTTATGTTACATTTTAAACACTTTCCTGCTAGCATGAGCCTTATAAACATGAAGAAATACATATTAGTAAATCATGTCAGATTTACTGAGACTTCCCCAGCATGTCTTACTATTTGCCAATTACTAGAATATAAGAAATGTAATTAAAATGGCTTGTATCTACAAAAGAGGTGCTAAAATTATTTTATTTGTATGAATTTTTACACTCAGATATTACTAAATGATGCTCCTAGTGAAGTTCTTCTAAAACCTAAGCAGAAATTATTACCAATATTTTGACAGAAGACCTTAGTTCTTAGTGACTTATCTTTGTCTGAATTATGTTACCTCAGACTTTTATCTAAAACTGCAGTAGTCTTGGCCTATTTATTCAGCAGCAGAAAATGGATCAGTACACCAGAACACTAAGCTGCTTAGTGGTTGAGACTTCACTGGCTGTACCAGTAGGGATCAACTGGAATCAGTAGGACAAAGTAATCTCTGATGTCAATCTGTTTGCATATTCACTTCTGTTGCCCTGTAATGACATGGACTTCAACAAATAGACTGGTGATGTGCTTTGCTACCCCACGGTAATTTCAGAATATGGCCCAAGACTGTCAACAATTTTAGGTGCCTCAGTTTTTGGCTGCCCAGCTTGAGATGCATTAAAAGGGCCACATTTTCAGAAAAAGCTGAATACTTATGCTGTAAAAATCAGATTCCTTTAAGGTACCTCAGTTGTACATTCAAATATTGAAAGTACTCAGGCATTAGTCATTCATGAACATTTTGGCCAGAGGTCTAATATTTCCCTTCCCCATGTCAGCACTTTTGCCCATTCCCTTCAGTCTGCCCAGTCTTCTGTCCCAGCTGTCCCAGTATACCACCTTCAGCCATCCCTAATTTTGTAATGTCTTTTATGCTGCCCCTTTACACGTGGGACCACCTCCCAGTAATCATAATTCAATCCCATTCACTCTTCTTCAAAACCAGTAGCACAATCAATGGTGGGAGGTTAGGATGCTAGCCCAGGTTGCCCACTTAGACCCTGACTGTTACACCTCTGTTTAACACCCTTTCAACAAACCACTGATACTTCAAATCATTCCTGTTCTAAATTCTCTCTATATTGTAGCATTTGTGCCTTAAAGCTTTCTTATATGGTCTCAAGTTAGAGAGAGCAGTTTTTCCCAACTTTTTCCAGCCCAAAGCACACTTACGTTACTACAAATTGTCCGTGGCACACCTGTTAAGGCATTCCCCATCCTCATACCTGTTGTAACTCATTGTAGCTCTTTGCCCCGGCAAAATTTCGTGGCACACCTGTTCATTTCTGATGTCACACTTTTGTGCCACAGCACACTGGTTACGAAGCACTGTGTTAGAGGAAGAACAAGTAAGTTTGCTGATGTTCCTGCTCGCCCTTTTTTTCCTGAAATGTCACTACCAGTGGTATCGTAAAAGCGCTTACAAGAAGCATTGGGTGGTAATGTTTACCCAACCAAAAAATAATGGCGTGTAAACAGTGGTCAAAATCACTTGGACTCTTCATGTGCTTGCCCCCAGCTGACTACAGAATGCAGACAGAAAGAAAAGGAAAAAAAAAAAAGAAGAGATAAAAGAGAAGGTGGAGAAACAGAAGCATACAAGAAACAGAAAGAAACAAATTAAACTGTAAGGAGGTGAAAAAAACCAACAAAGACCAATTTTGACTGAAGAATGGAAGATGTGTTTTTCTGGATCTTTTGGTAGGAGGCGTTCTTCATGAATGCATTGCTTATCTGCAGTTCAGGTCTATGAGTCCTTGAGACTAGGGCCTTATGCTAACACAACGTTACAGTGTGAGCAGTGGTGGTGAAAGTTTTTCCTCACCACATCACAAAGGCACTCCACCTTAACTGAGACAAGCTCTAGGGGTTAATACGTTCTTGACCTCGCTGTTGGCACAGCCTACAAAGGGGCCAGTGTGTGCTAGCATATTGGTAGCTATTATTTGGTTGGCTTCTGTCCAGTAGGAAGTGGACCAGACCAGCAACTCCCTTACCAGAAACCAGTAGAAAGCCCAATTATAAGAAATCATTCAACTTCTTAAATCATAATTATTAACACAGCGAAGGGAACAGTTTTTGGAAAAAAATATTATAGTAATTTCTTCTTTCTTCTTCGGCATAGAAGTCCTGATACATCAATATACTTAAGTATGTGTTTAAACGTAAGCACATACATAACATACTATGTATACTAGCAGCTAGTATTGTTTCTATGGGACTACAGTGACTGCTGATGCTGAGATTCTTTTTGTTTTTAGGGGGTTTTTTTTCCTTCTCGCTTTCCCTGTTCTTCTTTCTCATTTTGAGGTAAATGGGAAGAGGCCCTTCCATGCTGGCCTGTCAGCTTTTTAGGTCAGTCCTGATTTATATATCACTTGTACCAGTATTGAGTGTATTGAAAATGCCAGCATAATGGCTTTTGTGCGCTCACTGACCCATAACTCTCTGTACTGTAATTTATGCCTAAAATAAACACACACTATTCCTTTTTGCCATACCACAAAGCATCAAGCTTTAAAAGGACTGGGTCAAAGCCTAAATTTTTTCAAGTCATTCATGTCTGGTTTTGCAGAATCTGCTAAATATTTGCTTATGAACTTTCATTAAGCCATTCAATTCTACAGTCTATGCTTTACAGGAAGCCATGGAGCCATCAGTGTTTTCATTATTTAAAACTACCTAAATAACTATTGACTATTTCATTAGTTCATACAGGTCTTGGAAGCACCTTCTTTATGGGTTTTCTGATGAATATGATCTAGTAAGTCTGAGTAAATCAGCTCTAGATTCCCTGCCTCTACCCCCCTAGTCCCCCCCCACCCACACACACACACACACACTTTTTTTTAAATGCTTCCCATCACAAAAATCTAAAAACAAGAGGTTGGAGATTATATCAGTGCCTAATTATATATTCATTGCATTCTCTTTATTGCAGCTGAGGACAACTGGAGACTGTCATTGTGATTGCTCAGCACCACCTGGGATATAAGCACATGCTGAGGAATCTCTGGCATGGCTCTATGAATAGGAATAGTTTTGCCTCCCAGTTATATATGTAAAATACATTCCCATTTTCTTTCCCAAAATAATCCAGGAGTACTACCACAGAGTTGACATTTTGTACATTTCATTTTATCCATTTCCTACCTGAAGGATTTTATTTTTAATATCTCTTTAAAAAGAGAGAGAGAATGTTGCACTTCCCTGCTGCCTGTGA